GAAGCCTCTACATCAGAAAGCTTAGCTGAGAAGCCATGGAATCGATTTCGGGTTTAATTTGAAATCGATTTTGGGTTTAATTGTAGGACTTGAAGGTATTACAGATTTAGGATATGTATTTAATTCTTCTGTGATTCTTAATCATCATCTAATCTTTTACAACAAATTGGAGAAAGGGCATTTTAGTCTTTTCAGTTTTCTGACTTCTGAGGGACCAAAATCACAAGCAAATTTGGTCAAAGGGACCACTAAGCCAAAAATATCGGGGTTCGGATTAAAACCCCCAAAAAATACATACCACATGGATCATTTTTGCAATTTTGTCTTATTTAAATCATTTCTATGATTGACACTTTAATCTGACAATACCGCAATAAAAATAATACACCATGTATGAGATTAGTTAGAGAAGATGACTTGGAATTATCTATATATAAATAAGTTGATTTGAATTATATCTCTCTTAGGAATCAAATGAATACACTTTACATTTTAATTAAAAATAAAACATGCCAACAACCTTCAAAATTACTTAAAATAAAACAAAGAAAAGTTCTTTTTATTTATTTATTTATTTATTTAAGTTCTTGTAATCCTTCAACTTCTATGGTCCTATTTAATACGTTAATAACGTATAAAATTAAAACAACAAATATAAAATATTTATAGGTCAAACCAACTTGACATAGACATATTTTAACTCGCAATAATCGTTGCTTGTTACATATATAACCTTAATTGCTTATTTATTGTTGCTACACCTATAGAATATACACAACTCACATAAGGTGTAATCCTAAAGAAATGGATTAAGGACAATCATAAGATAATCAATTGTCTTATAAAACAAACTAAAAGTCATCAAAACATATCTAAATGCATAAAATCTCACATTGTAATATTAAAAAAAATAGATTATTCATGTAATAATCAAGAAGTTATAATAATGTTCAATATATTAATAATTTATAATTTATAAATAGAAAAACTTACAAAAAAATATTTATAGGTGAACTTTAATCTTATGAAAATTTATCCTTCATATAAGTGTCTCAGCCACTTATTTTGCCATATGTGATATATACACGAGTATTATATTTAAGAAATTAAATCCATTCAAAAAAGTTTATCTATTATTATTATAAAAAAAATTTAAAAAATTAATTTATTATATTCTTAAAACTTTGTTGGGATTCATATATATGTTTTTTTGATTCGGAAATCAATAAGTCCCACTTCCAATGAGTACCCTTTACATTCCATTAAGATCAGCCTGATCCCCTGTTTTCTCGCAAGTTGTGATCATCTACGCACCTTCAAATCTCCACCGTCCAATTTCCATCCACTCAAAAGTCATCTATACCAACGGTGAAGATCGTTCAATCAACCGCAGTGTACAAATAGGCGTTAAGAACCCCAAAGACGTGTGCTATGTGTCTCTAATCATTCTGTATTCCATTCATTGGGGATTGGGGAGTTCAATTTGCTTTCGTTGCTCCGTACGTCCCCGTTGCTTACGACAATCTTTGTTTGACTCCTCGCGGAAATCAAGGTTTGTGTTGTTATTCTCTTCGTTTATTGAAATCTTGTACCCTCAAAAGCGAAAAGATTGAATCGATTATAGAGGTGAATATGATTATATAGCACATACCCTATCTCGGCAACTTACTTGGAGACGGTGATCGTATTATGGTTCAATTATGTGGTTGAAGCTTAATAGTCTTTCTTTTCTCTTTGAATTCGATTGAATATTGTTTGTAGGTTTTCGTTAAATTTGTGATTTTGGGGAACAGATACGAGAAATTCGAGCAGTCGAATTCCCTTCTGTTATCAAACCCACTTAGTTCAAGTTTAATCCTAGAGCTTTTGATTGTCGATATAATCGATGCAAATATTAGGTTTACACCAACTATTGTGCTTTATATTACTTGATTTTGGATTTCAGTGCGCGAATATTTATCAAAATAGTTGATTTTAGCATCATAATGTTCTTATTGTAGCTATGTAGTGGCTTATAAAGGTCTGCCTTTGTTTGAAGCTAATTTGCCTTTTCAATTGTCAGTTGTACTTCACCTTCTTAAATTCTGAACTCATTAACCCAACTAATCACACACTGTATTTTACTAAGATGAAACACACTACACATCAAAAGCACATTGGAACAAAATTTAATCCAGTGTTTCCTCTTGACTCAATGCAGAAAGAACGACTTAATTCAGTAAGTTAAGAAAAAGTGAAGCTGGTTTTATGAATGGACAAAAATGGACATACACCCCTGTATGCTTAAAACAATCTGGTGAAAAGCAGCTGAATGATCATATGGGTGTTTCAAGAGCCATGTCATCTTCTAATCAAGTTATTCCTGGTTTTGAAGGAAAATACAAAAAAATATCCGATTCCATTACAAACACAAACACTTTATTCCCTGATCAAATTCAAAACCAGATGGTGGTTTCAACTGACACAATGTCATCATTCCAAACGTCCAATTTCGTAAATTCACAATCAATGTCATTAATTGGTTACACCGGTCAAACCGATGATATCTCATGGACTGCAGAATCACTTAAAGATCTCATTGACTTCCCGGAAAATGTCGCCGGAAATAATGTCGCCGGAAGTTCTTTGATTCCGGCCGGCGACCATGGTGGTGGAAGAGGGACCGATTGGCAGAACTGGGCTGACCAATTAATGAGTGTTGATGACACAATTGACCCGAATTGGAGTGACATCATGGCTGATGTTGATGTCCCAACACTAGATACAACAAAGGTATATGCTTCTTATTGCTATAATCTGTAAAGAAATGTTATTATATTGCTATTAGGGGTAAAAAGGTAAATAGTAAAGTAGGTTGCTATTTTATGCAGCAAATGCAAATAATTCCTAGGCCTCAAGTGCCAAGTATAGAAGTGTGTCCTGTGAGTAGTCCATCATCTAATGGAGCTTCTTCTTCAATTAAACCTCGCATGCGTTGGACTCCAGAACTCCATGAATCCTTTGTTGAAGCAGTTAATCAGCTTGGTGGTAGTGAAAGTAAGTTTTATTATTTTTGTTTTAGTATTTAATTAGTTATGACTTATGAGTGTATTGTTTTTGTTGACTTTTGTGTTTGACCTTGAAGGAGCTACACCAAAAGGAGTTTTGAAGCTCATGAATATCGAAAGTTTGACTATTTATCATGTGAAAAGCCATCTGCAGGTATGTATTGGAAGCAATTTATTGGTTAATCACTTAATATGGACAACTATTATATATGGCTGTTACTTTTTGACTTAATGGGTTAAGCCAAAAAACTTGGTTTAATGTATTAAGACACTAACCCTTTTAGCTAATTGTCCTTCTTTTATTCTTTGAACTACACTAATGTTAGAATTGATGAATAGTGTGAAATCTGACATGTTGACTTTTGAGGTCAAAGGAGTTAAAAATAACCCCTTCAACATTTTATAATAAAAATAAATCAAAACTTCAGATTTGATGTTTTTTTTGTTACTTTGATTTCAGAAATATAGAACAGCCAGGTACAAGCCAGAGTTATCTGAAGGTAATAAATATTTAATCATTAATCATCCTTCAAAATATATTTTTTGAAAATATTCATCGTCTTGAAAGATCTGTGATCCTTGAACAACTTATTATAAAAACAGACCAAAGTATATTTGTTTTTAATAAAATTTAATGCAGGAACATCAGACAAGAAGGCTACTTCTATTGATGAAATGGTAGCTATGGATATTAAAACCAAGTTAGTCTCTTTCTCTTTCTCTACAGTTGTGTGTTGAAAAGACGTTAATGCCCTTCCCATTCTGTATAATTACATTTGTTATATGGTTTTGATGACAGGAGTTTAGGATTCACTGATGCATTAAAACTACAGATGGAAGTTCAAAAGCAACTACATGAACAGCTCGAGGTATGCCAAATAAATAATATCAAAAAAATATATATTTGTTTTCTCTTGGCTGAAAATTGTGTCTATTTCTGTTTTCAGATCCAAAGAAACTTACAGTTACGAATAGAAGAACAAGGAAAGTACCTTCAATTGATGTTTGAGCAACAAAGAAAGATAGAAAACGGAAGGTTAAAGCCATCATCATCTAATCAAGATGAAGAAGACGACTCTGCAACTGAAAAACAAAAAGCTTCAAAAAATGATGATCGATGTGAGAAGTCAAAGGAAAAGTCAAACTCGCAAATAGAAGTACCTGAAGTTAACAAATCCAATATCGAGAGTGGATGTAGTCCACGTCCTTCAAAGCGTGCAAGACCTGATGAGGCATCCATGGCTTGATTTGTGTGGATTAATTTTGAATCTTATTTGTCTTCTTCCCCGTTTCTCTTCCTGTTGCTGAAAATTGTTTAAGATTTTAGGGCTTCTGCACTTGGAGATTGATTCTGTAGGTTTTTTTTTTCTTACTTTTTCATCATAATGTTTAGTAGAAATAATTTAAATCGGTAATAAACATGTTTGTGTCTAGGAAAATTGTTTTGGATTTTCCTTTGCATTTGTAATGCTTTATGTCAAATTGGTTACTTTTCAACTTTAAGTTGTAAGGCCTAGTTGGCTAGTTTCTGTTAAGAAACATGAACACTATATGTTCCATCAAATGCTTTTTAAGAGTTGGTAAATGTGCGAAAGAAAGAAACATGCACACAAACTGTTTGATAAAATGCCCCAAAGAAAGTTACTGAATTGGTGCAAGAGAGTTGCTAGATTGTGCAAAAGAAAGAAACATGCGCACAAACTGTTTGATAAAATGACCCAAAGGGAGTCGCTAAATGTCTAAATCGGTGAAAAAGAGAGAAACATACATACAAGTTGTTTGATGAAATGCTTCAAACAGAGAATACAACAATTACAGACAAAAGATTCTAAGCAGATGCATGACAAATAAGAGCAAACCACTAATGACATTAATGTATACCAGATAACTTTATAGCTTTATTTAGATAGAACATAATAGCTTTATATCTATAGATCAATCACATAAATTTCATTAAAAGAAAGTTTTTAAACTATCTTCTCTTTTCCCCTTCTCATAAGCATCCTTAATCATAAGATCAACCAATCTGATCTCACTTTCAATCGAACCCTTCAATCCTTCCAAATCTGCTCGATCGTTCTCATCAAACAAGCATATTAACATCGAACATTTTACATTTTTCTCTTTCTCTTTATCTAGATTCTTCTTCATTTTCATTATGCTTTTCTGGAGAAAAACTTTCTGATCAAGCATAGCACTTGCACCCAAAATTTTTGAATTTTGAAACTTTTGCATCACACGTTGCGCTTCAGAAGGCGAAGGCCAAACTTCTGGTGGGACTTCATCTTTCTCATACATCACAAGACAAGAATCAACATCACATAAACACTTCAATTCAATCATCTTCTTAAACAAACTCGCTTTCCTCTTCTGCAAGGTTGTATTCCTTGCTCTTTCATTAGCCATAAATTGGTATTTCACGATTGAGCGCGTCATAGTGTTTGGTGATTCTACATATCCCCTTATGACATATATATACACACAATATTGGTAAAAAAATATATATTGCAAATGTTAAGATGGTCAACGAATAAATATGCATTTAAGGAAAATTTATGTGGTTGTAACTTTGCCGAAGTAAGTCAACTTTTTTATGGAAATATTTACAAACGTGTCGCAATATAATTGGGTCAATAATTTATTTTAGAGAATCCGATTACGGGAAGTAGCGTATTCTATATCAATTTATGGAAGAGTTAATATTTAGCGTTGGTTAAAGGTATAAAGTCTTGTACTTTATATTTATTACAGGAAAAATCTATCACAACCACCAAAGAATCAATGTACCTTCTCTTTCCGCGTAACGAGAGTAACTTTGATTATTGTTATAAATATATGTCTTATGAAATGGTTTAACTAACAAGTGGCTAAGGAAATGAGCTTCTTCATTACTCGCAAAAGGACAAGCGGTTTGATATGTCATTTGTTTGAACACACCTTATAAGGAAAAGGAGTTTGAACATCATGACTTTTCAAGAAACTAAGTGTTTGCTACTGAATATGTCATAATGAATAAAGTTGATTATGATGAAGCTATTGTGTGAAAGCTTGTATATGGTTATTGTATGTTTCTTAGCATAGAATCACAAAGAGCATTAGTCCTATGTGATTTTGTTTTGTGTTGTTAAAAGAACTTAAGATGATATACCATCATGTAGGTTTTGAGGAGATAATAAAAAAGTGACAATCGAAATAAAAAATACACGGGAGACATAAATCACAATACCCCCAAAAGAAGGAAGATGATGCTTGTGCTTGAACATGAACATGAACATGAACATGAACACGAACATGATACCTCCCTTATGGAATCTCACTTACATATACTTGTGGATGTTTTGTTGAATATTTTGTTAACTTTAAAATTTCAAACTATATGGTGCAAGATCTTCACATTGTTGTATGGTCTTGCAAGTCAAACAAAAATCTATATATACCTTTAGGAGTTGGTACATGGTCGTGCGAGTTTCTTCACTATTTTTATGCGAAGATACCTATTGAGGTATAGCCGGGAAATTCTATGGATTATCGCTTTTCTTAAGTATTTTGGATTATTATCTCTATGTTAAAGACAATATGAAAATTAGGACCTTAAGCATTGAAGTGCATACATCTCAAATTTAAAGTTAGAGTGAAAGATTCAAGTTATGGTCTATAAGATCATAATTATTATAGATGTTATATTCGATAAGGAGAAAATATTTAGAAAAATATTTGTAATGAAGTTCATTTTGAATGATAAAACTATAGAAAGTGAACTGAGTTCTCATATACCAATGAAGTTTTCTATTATTTTGGTTGGTACATTAAGTCTACTCTTGTAGCACCTGCATCGTTAGTTCGCAAGTTGGGACCTCCAAAAGATAGCAAAACATATGTATTTGTTGCAACCGTAAATGATGGAGATTGTAAAGTCCCTTTTTAAGTTTTATCTAACACTTCTAATGAAATTTTGACATTACCTTTGGACAAACTATAAAATCCATGGATAACATATCTATTTAAATTAATCCAAAGACAGACTCAATACCTATAAATTATTTCAACATAATTACCATGGGTGTTACTAACATAAATTATATCTTCATGTCCTATATGATATATACATACCAATAAAGGAGACAAATATCCCTAGGTTGTCAATTCTACCCAAAAGGAGGTCTCTATAACTTTTATCCTCTTCTAATCTTCTCATCCTAAACTATATATATATATATATATATATATATATATATATATGTGTGTGTGTGTGTTAACCATGTAATATATGAGACAAACATTGTCTTCTAAACTAAATAAGGATTAAATAGTATAATCATATCCAAAACATCACATTAGTAAAGTTATACTTTAATTTGAACATAATAAAATACCTTATATAGGAATTTCAACCCAAGTTATGCATTTTCTATTTTAGGTCTAATCTCAAGCAGGTTGATTGTCAACACAAATTAGTCATTCCCAAAAGGTGTCCGCCCAATGAGGGTGTAACATCCGGACCATTGTAAGTTTCCTTTTCAACCCTCCTTAAGATAAATCTTTTCAAAAATGGTCATTTGGCTAGTACGCGGGGCGTACTAGCTGAACATTGGTCGCGGACATCGCCCATGTACATTGGGCGTACATAAGGTTACGATGGGTGTACTCTTAGCAGGGGCAAACCCTAATTTTTAGGGTTTTCTCCCTATTTAAAGACCTTAAGTCCCTCATGACCTTCACCCTCTTAGACTCCCTTGTCCTTAAAGTGTTAAACTCGAACCCTTACCCTCTTGCATGCACTTTTTAGCTTACGTTGGTGATTTTTGGTGATCTTTGTTGGTTTTGAAGAAGAAGGAAGTTTGGGAAGAAGCAAGGCCAAGGAAGGAGCTTGTAGATCCAGAGGTTTGGCACCATTTCCAACTCTTTGAATGTATAAAGTTTGAACATTGACCATTGCATGCTTAGATCTAGTTGTAGGTGAAAAATGTCATCTTTTGGTCCCATAGTTTGGATTCTTGGAGTTACGGAACTTCAATCCATATGAGCTGTCCTTTTGAACTCTTGGAGGTGTTATAAGTCATAAAAATTGGATCTTGATGGTTAAGCCTCAACCATGCAAGTGATAGGGACCAACCAAGTGTGTTTATGGACTTGATTCATGTTTTAAGCCTCATCCATGCATGCAAAAGCATAAAGTTTGCAAATTCATGGCTTAGGACGTTTCTAGGGGCTTGGATCTAAGTTTTGGGCGTTAGGTCTTAATGAAATAAGTCAAGAAGGTGGTTTTGGGTTAGCTGACCAGTACGATGGGCGTACTCCCATGTACGCTGCGCGTACTGGGTCAACACCTCGAATCTGAGTTAATATCAGTATACATTGGGCGTACATGTAGAGTACGCCGTGTGTATGCATGCAGTAGGCAAGAAGGGATTTTGGGCTCTCGGTTTTGTGGGGCTTTGGATTTGTTTCGGTTGGGCCTCAAGCCCACCTGTTGTAACAAGGCATTTTGGGCCTAGGACCATGATTAGATGTCTTTGGGCCATATTGGGCCTTAGAAGCCTCTTTGGTTGGGCTTGGACACTTTTTGGTTGTTTTGGAATTGGGCCTTGTTTTGGAATTGTGCGATAGGGAGAGGAGTTCGCGAGTCATCCTCTAAGTACGTTTTGACACCCACGGTTTGAGGTGAGTCTTCCTTCCTAGTAGCCGTGGGTCGAAGGTACCAAGGCCGACCCACTAGTTATGTTATATCATGATGATTGTCTTTGTGATAATTGTCAGTCATGTTTTTATTTGTATGATGAATCAGTAATTATTGTTATGATATTATGTGGTGGTAGTAGAGGTGAAATAGACCCAACATCCGGTTGAAATAGACCGAAGGGGCAGACCAACACCCAAATATACTTGGCAGTATCCGGTTGAGATAGACCGAAGGGGTAGGCCATTACCCAGATATGCTTGGCAGTATCCGGTTGAGATAGACCGAAGGGGCAAGCCAGTACCTAGATATGCTTGGCACTATGTTTGTTCAGTATGTTGTGTAGCATGTTTGATTTGTATGTGGTATGTTGGGGGACCTCACTAAGCTTTATGCTTACAATTTTCAGTTTCTGTTTCAGGTACCTCTAGTTCGAAGGGGAAGGGCCCGGCTTGATCGCGCAGCATCACTCCATGTTTTTCCTCACTTAGTGATTTTGAGATTTATACTCTGATATTATGATACAATATGACTTCTTGAATATTTTGGTATCAGTTTCTTATGAATGGAATGAATTTAAAAACAAAAAATTTTATCTGTATTTATGGGATGTTATAGAGGAGGCACATAAAGATATATAATACGTGACTATGGTGAAGAGAGTACCGCAACCAACATAATCTCTTATGTAGATGTGGCCATTCTTAAATAAGACCCATCATCTCCTAGTGATCGGGAACAATATCTTTATCATCTAGTTAGTAGGAACTTTATGTTGATCATCACTAGACATACAAGAATTCATCGTATTTTTAATCATACTTGCAACATATATATTCATTGTCAAGGGAGTTATGCACTATCCTGGTAATCTAGTCTCAATCTGTGACATCCCCAAAATCACGGCCAGAAAAGACCGGTTTAATTTATGCTTTTAAAATGATTTCAGAG